TTTAGATATATATATTATAATAATAATCTTTATAAGAGATTTATAAGATTTCTTTATATTAGGGGTATATTAATTAGGTATATTTATTATCCCTTATATTATAATATAGTCCTTATTATAAGTTTATAGCTATTTCCTTATAATATATTAAATAGGGATATCTCTTATATCTAAGTTATTTTTTTCTTTTTATTTTATTAATCTAGAGGTTTTTAATTCCCCTTAAGTAATTCTAAGGATTTATTTTTATTATTTCTTAATTTTATAATTATTTTATTTATATTTATATATTACCTTATATAAGTCTTTATTATATTATATTTCTATAATATTAATAGAGTTATATTAATAAAAAACTTAATATCCCTTTATTTTATATTATAAATATAATTTATTATTAGGCTAATATAATAAAGGAATTAAAAAATAATTTATTTTTTTTTTTTTTTATATTTCTTATATTAATAATATTAATATAATATCTATAAAATACTAAGGTATTCCTTATATATTAGGTAGGTTTATATATTATCTTATATATTAAATAATACTTTTAGGTATTATAGATTTTTAATTATTATTTAATAATATATATAGATATATATATCTTATATATTAGTAATATTTATATATTCCCTTATAGTCTAGATATATTATTTTTATAGTAATCGCGGACTCGCTGCTGCTGCCTCCGGTTTAGCGGCACCGCCCAAACGGGCAAAGCGCTCTCGCCGCCCACACTCCCGACCATCCATCACGTGACTCGTTTCTATATAAGACGGCGACCTCCTCGGCCCCTGTGAACATGTATCTTTGACTTCTGCTTCCTTCCATCCTCCGCCCATTTGTATCCACCATTTCAACTCTTTGGAGACCATCGCTGTCTTTAGCCCCAGCCCCCCTCCCCCTCCTGCCGCGTCATCGTCCTGCATTGAGATGAAGCTCTGCGGGAATCGATCGATCAAGGCGATACCTGCTCTCGTCTCCAGAGCCAAGTTTTGGACGGCATGAGAAGAATACTACCACTAATAGTAATCCTATTCTCTGTTGCCTTTGCCTACTCTGTGGTTCGTATGGCTTTTCTTCCCGCCCTTTTCTCACGGAGTCTAATAATGACTGATAGCCCAGAAGAGTTCCCCTCGCTGGACTGCCTCGCTGGACTGACCCGCAGCGCTTCAACGCTTCCCAAGCAGCAGAGCATCTCACGGCGATGCTTGTCTTCGTGAGGCCTCTAGCAGCGCCTAGCCAATGGCAGAAATGCCGCAGTGGTTTATTAATCCCCTCCTAACCCCTGAAAGCATGATGGTGGATGGTACTATCTCGGGCCTGCCTCCTGAAACTGGCACAGGTGGCTACGGAGGCTTCCAATATGACCTTGCTCCCCGATTGGTCCCCTGATCCGGGCGGAGAGTGAGGTCACAACTCGCTTGGCGGTGTCCGAGTCACCATATCTCTGCTCAGGGGTTGCCGAGACTTCCTGCCGCTTGGGGGAACGACCCCTCGGCCCGGCGCCGCTTGCGATGGCTCAGCGGCTTCGAAATCGAGAATAGGCCAGCGAACTGAGAGGGATGATTGGGGGGTGAGGGGACGGGGATGCGGACCGGGACGGGCGCATTTCGGCGAGTTATTGGTGTTGCACGCATGTCAACCCCGTTTGTCTCACTGTTGTAGGTTCATGAGGCGTTTGTGACGGCATCTGGTGCTCTCCCGTCCTCTGAATGGCTCAATAAGTTCGTGGCTGTGGGCGACCAATATGCGTAGGCGCGGCGTTGAGCTCCATCACGGTCAGACGGAAGAGCTAGTGCTGCCGGGAACTTTCTACCCGATGCTATGTGACCGCTTGGAAATGACGCGTCGTGCGTGAACAGCCAATAGGCATGAAAACCTTCCTCATCTGGCATCTCCCCGAGGACTCTGCCTTGCCAACGAGTGGCGCGAATCCCTGACGGTGTGCGGCAAGCTGAATCGAGGGGGGCATCATGTGTTCAGCATAGCTGCCTTGGTGTGGCCCGGCAGTGAAATGATTGGGACGAAGGAGAAGCAGTTACGTGTCTGCCTCCATCCGATCCATCACCATCTTGGAGAACACAGGGAGGCAGCAGGGAGGCATCGAGCTGGGTGCCCGCAAGCGGTTACGACTCATGTTGCCGCATGGTTAAGCAGCGAGCATATAAGCCGGATAATGCCCGCCTATCTTCACTTGGCTGTGCTTCGAACACTAAACCCCTTTTCTCTTTCCCTCTCCGCACTCTGCAACGCAAGCATGGCCTCGGCGACTTTTGACTCTGAACAGCGGAAGCTGCCGCAAAGCCTCACTCCTCCTGCCTCTCAGCCAGACACGGTATCTTTGCAGAAGAAGGCCCTCTCGGCTCTCGGAAAATCCAGCGACACAGCGATTTGCATTCCCTCTGATGTCGAGTCTGACACTGAAGATGAAAATGACGAGAGTCGAGAACTCAGAAACTTGCACTCTTGCGCAACACGTGCCAGCACCCCCGATTATCTAGGTATGTCTGACGTTGTGGTGCTCCGTTTAGGTGGAAGGTTCTGACAACAGATGCCCAGATCTCACCGGCATTGAATATGGCGCAACTGAACCAGAAGCCATCACTGGCGTCGTCACTGCGCCAACAGTATTCCTAGCTCAAGCGGAAGCCGCCCCAGCTTGGCCGAATGAGACACAAGCGTCTCACCTCGCTGATGCTGAACCGAGTTAGCAATCTTCTTGTGAGATGAATCACATACTCACCGGAGATACGTCTGCTTGTAAAGGTGTCGATTTTGTAACGCCTCCTACTAGCCCTGAAAGCCAGCCGTACCCAGTTGCGGCAGGCGGGCAACAGCTTCGGCCCGTACCAGCCAGTCAACAGAGCAACATGATGGTCGATGCTGTCTTTGACCATGACGCTTGTCATAACGCCCAGGGTCATCCGGATTCCCCCTCAATTTGCACACACTCTTCGCGGACTGCCAGCCCCGTCGAGGTGGTCCAGGCATCACTCCAGGAAAGCGAAAAACCCGCCGGCAATTCGTCTGACGATGCCACCCCTGAAGCCCGCAATTCATCCCTGACAGCAAGGATGTCACCCGAACCGCATCGGGGACAAGACTTGGGCGACGCAAGCTGCGGGTCCAGCGATCCCGAGTCCGAGGCCGCAGATGGTGGACCCGGATCGCCGGGCAAGGCCCGGTCATCTCCCCAGTTGCCGTCCCCGCGCCGTCCTCGTCGCAGATCCCCACATGTGCATACAGCAGCGCAAGAGGAGGACAGTGACGCAGATACTGAAAGCTCCGGCAGTGAGGATGGTCGCGATATTCCAGAATATGCGCGTGACGAGGACTATTGTCCTTCGCCTCCAGAGGTTCAAGGATCTGGCTCGGAAGACGATGATGTCGACGGTGAAGAACATCAAGATCACAAACGCCGCAGGGTCTCTAAGTCTCATTCCTGTTCGGCACACAATGCGGCTACCAGTGCCCGGGATTCTCGCCGAAGGAGGCGATCCACAAGAGCTTTCGCACACTCATTGAGGGAGCGCGACACATCGACACTCGGCTTGTCAAGTCCAACACCACCGCGTGCAAGATCTGCTCCCTCCGAGGCCAGTGCGGTTCTTGCTCGGTTTCAGGAATGGCCGCTCGAGAACGTTTCAATGAAACGCGTTACCGAAAATGGCAAGACTACGTTTCAATTCCAGTTTGATTGGCCCCTTTGCACAAATCACCCAACTGTCGCCGGTATGATGCCCGATTCAACCCGCTCGGTTGCGACAAGGGAAACAACCAAGCGAGCCCCTGTAGGACGGGCTAAGTATTCAGACGATGAAGATAGCTTCCTCATACAACTGAAGGAAGAGGAGCAGCTTGGGTGGGCGGAGATTCGTCGGCGTTTCGCTCAACGTTTCCCCGAACGAGGCGGCTTGAGTCTGCAAGTGCACTACTGTACGAAACTCAAGTATCGTAGGAGAACTTGAAGTCATCATGCTCTTCTAGGTCGGGGGTCTTTGAGATGGTTGGGATGTACCTTAAACGAGCCAAGGAGCGCTGCAAAACGCATTGTTCCTTGGTATTCGAGGTCATCTGCGTGCACAATTGCTTGGAGTTGTTAGTCGGGTGATCTGGAGGGCGTATGCCTCGGTTCTATATATGAGACCGTAGTCCGTAGCTAGATGCTCAAAGTATATGCTATTTCGTTTAGCCCAATGGAATATCGATGGGTATAATAATCACCCCGGTAAACTACTCCGTCCTAGGAAGGTCTGATGTAAGTGCCCGTATGCTAAAAGATTCTTAAAACGGAGGCTCTTAGGTATTGCTAAAGTCTTTAATGGCGAGGTTGAAGGGGCACGGTTGATTGGTATCCTCAGCAGTAAGACAGCATCACAGTCGATATATGGAGAAGAACCGCGCCTTCATAGGTGGATAAAAGTTGATCCAAGCATGTCATGCAAGGACCCGAAGGCCACGATCGGCCATCGGGAATTGTGGGTACATTCGATGCCGAGCCGGCCTCCGCTCCCGCCGAAATGTGAGCCCCGTACAGCCAGAAAACAGGAGCCGTCCAACAAGCAATATGGATTTATCTGCAGCCACTAGCCTCTATCTCAGAATAAAGCATTTACCAAATAAACACCACCCAAAGAATGGCCAATGTTTTTCAATGTGAAGGAACCATAGCTCACATGACTCCCGGTGCCAGACAGTTCTCGTTTGGTCTAGAAGGCAAGAACGCCACTGTCCATTCCAATATAAATTTTGCTTGGCCCCTACGACCCTCCGAGAACAAAGTTAAAAGGAAATTATAGAGAAAGAAATGATGCTGGCTTTTTCTAATAGCACATCTAAAGCTCGATAAATACAGGGCTAGCCAGCCAAGGTAGGAAATAGTTGCTAGCCGGGATTCCTGCTTCCAAATCAAACAGAACCAATTTCGTAGGTCACTACTGAGAACTGGAAAAGGGCTGCTTGTGACCAAAAAGATAATTATGCCTGCCTCCGCTCTAAGAGAACTTCATCACCAGCACACGACCTGAAAGACAGCCGATAGCGACCGTTGATCCGACAACAGCGGATTGCCCCTCTCGATAGTCCGGAGGTAGCCAAAGCATCTCCTTTCCATCTTTAACAATCCATACACCGTCGGTGCTTATACCCCAGCCAGAATGGCGAACACCCCGTAAGGTTATTGCAGTCGACTGATCATCAATGGCAGGCTGTAGAGCCGGGTGATCCAGGTTTAGAAGTCCAATGTCCGTGGAGAGGAGAGAGTTTGTCGTTGGATCGAATGAAAGGCGACATAACATTCTCCCAACGTCGAGTGTTTGCACGCACGCGCCCGTGGCCGCGTCCCAGATCTTGACCGTGCTGTCGTCCGAGGCCGACGCGAGACGCTGGCCATCTGCCGAGAACACCACCGAGCTCACCCAATCGCCATGGCCCTCGAGCGTCTGCACGCACGCGCCCGTGGCCGCGTCCCAGATCTTGACCGTGCTGTCGATCGAGCCCGACGCGAGACGCTGGCTATCTGCCGAGAACACCACCGAGCTCACCCAATCGCCATGGCCCTCGAGCGTCTGCACGCACGCGCCCGTGGCCGCGTCCCAGATCTTGACCGTCTTGTCGTACGAGGCCGACGCGAGACGCTGGCCATCCGCCGAGAACACCACCGAGCTCACCAAACTATTATGGCCCTCGAGCGTCTGCACGCACGCGCCCGTGGCCGCGTCCCAGATCTTGACCGTGCTGTCGCCCGAGGCCGACGCGAGACGCTGGCCATCCGCCGAGAACACCACCGACCTCACCGAATCGCCATGGCCCTCGAGCGTCTGCACGCACGCGCCCGTGGCCGCGTCCCAGATCTTGACCGTGCTGTCGCCCGAGGCCGACGCGAGACGCTGGCCATCCGCCGAGAACACCACCGAGCTCACCGAACTATTATGGCCCTCGAGCGTCTGCACACACGCGCCCGTGGCCGCGTCCCAGATCTTGACCGTCTTGTCGTACGAGGCCGACGCGAGACGCTGGCCATCCGCCGAGAACACCACCGAGCTCACCCCACGGCCATGGCCCTCGAGCGTCTGCAAGCATGCATTCCAGTCTGATTCCATGCTCGGCTTTAACGTGATCCAGTTTGGCTCTTCTTTTTCGAAGAGCTCTCTGATTAGGCTGTGGGTGGGACTGAACACGAGTGCTGATGCGTAGGCCTGTAATGGAGCAATCTCGATCGCCCGCTTGTGAGAAAGAACAAAGCGGCGCGCGTCTCGAAGGAATTCTGTTAGTTGTCGCGCTTCCTTGGTTTTCTGCTAACATGTCAGACCGTCTCTAGTTTATAGATGAATTTATAACAACTCACTACTAAAGCTTCGAGCTTCTGCACTGCCATAACCCCCTCCGGCAAGCTACGTAATAGACCGAGAGATTCTAACCAATATAGATATTTCCTTCGAAGGAACTCATGGACGATCCCCGCGTCCTGTAGGTCCTTGTCACTCATTTTCACCTGGGGTTCCGAGGCGTCGAGATGGTCTACCCAGAAGACGCAGGAATATCCTATCGAAGCCAATGGGTCAGGGTCGGGCGGCGAGACCTGATCGGTGGGAAATCCCGGGACGCCCAGTGCGTAAACGTCACGCTCGAGAGTCTCCGAGAGAGCCTCCAGCGACTTGGAGAAGATGGCATAGTGCTGGTGTGCGGCGCCAGAGGGCAGGATTTAGTCGGATGCCTTGTTAACCAGGAAGTCTTTGGCTGATTGATGCACAAAGTAGATGACACCTTCTCGAAGAGTCAGGAAAGAACCGCAGGAATCAATGATTTGTGGCAGGTCATCGTAGTCGTCCTCCTCGAGCGACTCAATAAAAACCTTTAATTCCTCCAATGTGATAGGTCGGTATACGACTGAAGCGATAGCCAGTATCTCCTTGCAACTTTCTGCATCACTCGAACCAGAGATTTGTTCCATCATTCGATTGTAGAGTGGATCAAGTCCTGATGGGAATAGCTTCAACTTGGAGAGTGTATGCCGTTTTCGGACCACCTTGGGATCTGCAAGCTCTTGACAGACCAAGGCGACCCAGAGAAAGGTGCCATCAGCATTAGAGACTAAGTGATTTTCGACAGCCTGGCTTGTTTCCTTGTCGTATCTCTTCTCGCGTGCCAATTGATCCACCTTGTATCCAATGTATGTATCGACAGCCTTGGAGATGGAGTCTTGGTTCAGCTCGAGCTGAAGCCTGACCTTCTGCTTTGTACGGCCGAGTTTCTCTTCAATGTCCTGCTAGTTGCGACTAGACACGATCCACTTGACGCGAGAGGACTTAGCGATTAAGTCGAGCAGCTGATGTCGATTTGTTTTGCATTCGTCGAGGGCATCGACAACCAGGATAGCACCGTCCAAAATCGGGTCATTGAGCATGGCTGCAAGAATCTTGGATAAGGCTTCCCAGGCATTCCCGTCCTCGAAAAGCTGCTTACCCGCATGATCGTGCTTCTCTCGAACATGTGAGATGAGCGACGGCTGCTGGACAACGAGCAGATAGATCAGACCGCGCAGCACGGCCGTCGCATTACTGAGTCGTGCCTCGGTGGCCTGGCAGAAGAAATAGGACAGGTGCCTGTCGGGGTCCTTCCCCAGCTCGTCGATGATGCCGCACAGCAACATCGTCTTGCCTTTGCCAGGGTCGCCTTTGATCCAGAGCAGCTGGCTGTGGGGATCGTCACGCCACCGCCGGAAGTCGTCATGGTCGAGGATCCAGCGGTATGAGTCCCTGAGCAGGCCGCCCTTTGTAGCTTCGATGCGCGTCTTGTCGTCGCGAGGGTCAGTCTCGCGCAGGTCTTTCAGACACTGCTTTGACTCCTCGTCTTGGTGTCTCTTCTCTTGGTGTTGCGTTTGCGCTTCAATGGCTGAATGTACGCCTTTGATGGCCGAATGAATGTCTTGGAGCTTCATCTCTATAGCGCTAGCGGTTTCGGTGAGTTTCCAGAGTCGCGTCTTGCTCTCTTCGGTGTTGTATTGTTCCATGTCTCTTTGCATGGCAGCCTCTGCTTCCTTGATCTCGTTGAGCTGGCCAGCCCAGTCATCGTTCTTGAACAGATCCGTTACAATGACGCCAACCTAGTGCCGGTGGTAAAGGCAGACGCTCTTTATCTGATATGAAAGAAGTTTCTCGTAGAGCTGCACGACGTGCTTCTCCAGTTGGATTCGCAGTCCCGCGGAAGATTGCTCGGCCTTGTTCTCGTCGAGAAGTAGGGACACTAAGTTCCAGTACCACTCCATTCTTGACAGGACGTAGGCGATGCCTTTGCGGTTTTCGCGAGCCTCGGTGATGGGGTTCGAAAGGATCTAGCAACTGTCAGCAGGGGATCATCGACCGTTCTGTCTTCGGTTGGGAAAGTTATTCACACACCTCTAGCCCAAGGCAGACGCCGACCCAGGCGACGGCGGCTTCTGGTGCGACCTTTACCGCGTTGTCCATTATTCCCCTCACCGCTTGTATTGCTTGCAAGCCTTCATCGATGCCTCGCTTGATGGACGCTTGCTTCTGCGTCCGATCTAGTCCAGCCTGCACTAACTGTTGCATTTGGCCGCATCGTGTCCCCGGAGTCTCTCCTATCTCATTGTCTGTTGATTCGCGAGGAACAGAGCTCGGATCGTTCTCGTGCAGCTTGGCTGATAGGATCTTCTCGTACTCCCCGACCAGTTTGAGCTCGTTCGCTTTGAGCGCATCGTAGGCCTCATTCCAAAGTCGCTCTTGTAGGCTCGGCAGCGACGAGGTTTTGGAATCCGTCGAGGTAGGTAGAGAAGAAGACGTTGGCTGAGATGTCGGTCGGGTGGTTGGTTGGGACGGAGACCGAGATGGTGTCGGCGAAGGTGTTGGTGACGAAGCCGAGGCGGATTCTTGAGGGGCTTGTAGCAGTCTTCTAGCCCTGAATCTCACTTTCTCGATCAAGCGAGGCGCCATCGTCACAGAGGACACCTTAATCCTGTTGCGCGATATGACGATAGTAGCGAGATGGCTTCTGCTCCGATGGATGAGTCGGGATGACGATGGAGTGTCACGACTGACAACTTGGGCAGCAACATCTTTGCGAGATTTCTCGTGCGGGGAGAGGAGGCCTCAGCAGCTGAAAAGGATCCCTGTAGCATGGTGCAGCTTGTGAGTCCAATAGGATTGCCGAGTCGTGAGATGTGCAGCTACGCCAAGTCAATCGCAGGGCTTGTCGTGTTGAGGTGGAAAGTGCAAGGCAAATCAGGTGGGGAAAGAGGTAAGAACAGGCTGGCTCGATTTTGCCATCTGGTCCCGAGATCCATCTTTGTCTTGACTTTGCGCTGCCACTGGGGCCCGGCTGACAAGAGATGAGTTGCCCTCATTGCGGGGCCAGTAGGACAGTGTTCATGTGACCAAGGTTCGTTGAAGGAAAGCGCTGAGGAGAGGGGGTCAGTCAATAGGTAACACAGTAGATGCCTGCCTGACAAGGCTGTGGCATGGCGGAGTTGCGCTTAGATCCCTGCTAAGGAAGAGAACGCGCGCTTCGTGCCATTCAGTGGATGTTGCAGCACCTTGCTGCAGGCTGCAACTGTTACCGACGGAGAGTAGAGAATCAAGTTCTACCAGAGCACTTCGCTTGCTCTCTGTCACTAAAATCAGACGGGACGCGTTGCGGACGCGTTGGATATTCTCTTATCGGGGGTTACCTCTAGTGCACGCACGTGCATCAACCCACCCTTAGATGGAAGGCAAGGAACGGGTCGTCCGCCCCACGGCGCGCCGTACCGTCCGGGCACCACCGCAATCTTTACTCCTTTGACTCCACCAAGCGGGTATCCATGTGATAGCGAGAAACATTAAAGATAGTACAGCGGCTTCGTCAAGGCCGGACTTATCGCGACGACACTGTTTCGCCGTGTTCTGAGCTTTATCGGCATTGCCGTGATGCCCAAGACGCGGGTACACCACGCCGCTTGACACCAGGCACCGAAGGCTCGCCCGCAGCCGGTAGCCGTGGCAGTAGAGCATCTCACCCCACGATATGCAAAACACGGCAAAGAGCCCTGGCCAGGCGTCGAGACTCGGGCTGGCCACTCTTCTATTTTTAAGTCGGCATCTTGGAGTTCCAGGAGCACACCACACCTTGGGGACTCCTAGGTACTCACACATCCCACCGATCAAGATCAATGCGACTAAGCTATTCCCAGCAGTAACCATATTCCCTCCCCGTGTACACGGAACGGCCTTCTCGCTTAACAGGATGGAATTCGCTTATAAATTTATTGGAGATGAACCAACATTTTTTTTTAATCCATGGTTGAATCCGATTTAGATCGACAGGCCAAAGCTCGCTAGTGATTTGGGGGAGGGTCACATGACCATTCCATCCTCATCGACTCGTTTCCCCCACCCTAGAACCTTCCACACCATACACGTCGTGCTCTATTAAGACACGCGAGAATTTATATCCTCGGTTAGGGGACCTATTGATTAAGAACGAGCGTAAGAAACACGCAGAGTATCCCTGTGATGCAGGATGAGATACACTCGGCCCCTTGTTGGCGGTGATCCCGCTTGCACTGGCCAATCACTAGACTTGTGCCGTCCTGGTCATCTTTTCTAGCATATTGGAAAGGCAGTAATTTCCATGAGAATTGGAGAGCTTTGCATCTAGATTAAATAGAGGTAGACAATTTATTTCATTCTTAACACTAACACTCTACACAGACCTTTACCAGAATAAATCAAAGAGATTGCACGATATCACCTCCCTTGATACCATTGACAGCTATATAAAACTATAGAACCGACGATTCACCCGCTGCCAGATAAGTGTCGTCTGTTGCTCGAGGCTATGACCGCGGGTTGCGGCAGGGCTGGGCCAGGGAGAAGTGCTTGATCCTCATTCAGGCTTGCTGAAGATTGGTTGTCATAGACAGAGTCGTTGAGGCCTGGTTGGCGACTTGGATTCATCTCGAGATCCGAGTTTCCACCCGTTCGACGAGATTTCCCGTATTCGGTCTCCGCAAGTCGATAACCCAGGGCCGAGCTCATGATGTAAAGGAACCACTGCAGGAACTTCGACGCTGTGTAGTATCCAGCAAGCGAGAGCCCAAGTAGTAATGCTGAGACCAGCATAAGAAGCAAGGTCAGGCCCAATAGAAAATCTGCGGTTTGTTTCGGACCCCCCTTGGATAGCAACTTTCGGGAAGCGAGAAGTATGGATCCAATGGCGGCAGCTTGGGAAGTGAATGGCGCAACGTTGTCAAGCTGGAGGGGAGGAGGAGTTCTCGAAACCATGGCAAGGATAGTAATGCCTGTTATTTCCAAGCATTCGAGTATGATAAGCCATTTCAGCCACGATCCTTTCCCGATACCAGCTGCAAATGGATAGATAATTGCAATGATCTGGTCATCACATCAACAACGATACGCTTATGGAGGGGTTTAACGAACCTGGACTATGGCGGCGCCCCAGAAGGATATGGTATCCAGGATGGTAGGGATAGCTCCCGCAAGAAACTTGGGAAAGTTTCCAGGCCGGCTATGCTCGATAGAAAAGAGGATCAAGGCCACTATCTCTAACAGGCCCCATACCATCATGAACCATACCAGAGATACCTTTCGCGACCTCAAATGCTTGCGTTTAAGAAAGGCAAAAAGGCAGACAGAGAATAGAGAAGATCCAGACGTTAAATAGGTCTCAGTGACCTGATTTCGTGTAAGACTTTGCATTTTTATCGAAGTGGGTCGGATAGGGGTGGATTCATACTGGCGTTGAGACCTGATGGCGAGGGGATTCTAGGTCTCATTTATGTTTGCGAACAAAGACCGGAGCAAGGAATGGCTCCACTATACCAGATAGCGCGTGATTAATGAAACAAAAGAACCAACACAAAGATGGTTGTGTGCCTCCACCCCTCGTCGGTTGCCAGTCTCAGGGGTTGCGGGATCGTGATGGGCCATAGACGAACACGGCAGTCGCCCGAGACCAAAGCCACCTATATGCTCAAGCAGACCAGCTTACGCCATCTTCATATAAGTCTTTGGCCAAAGTCTCTAAGATTATGCCGACAGGGTTGTCCTGTCGGGTATCACGGAGTAATGAGTGGAATTGCTTAACCTTCATAGCGGCAGACTAAATACAGTAGGGACTGACAAGACGCCCCTTGACCTCAGCTCTAACTACGGCGATTTCTACTGCCACTCTGCAGCGAGTCTCTCTTGCGCTGCTTCTCCTTAAGGAGGTCATCCACCCATCGGCCGCAGTTCTCTACTGCAGCAGCCGGGCAAGACCTATGTGGCAAAAGGTACGATATGATCTCCGCCGGACTGAACTCGGACTCTGGTACCTTCAAGGCAAACTCATCCGCTTGACCCTCTACCTCCCCATCATATTTACCCTGCACCGCTAGTTGCCCAAATATGAACCTAAAAATATCTTTAGTGATGTCTCTATCGGCAAGCTGAAACTCAACCTCCTTATCAATTCGACCAGGACGCGTCAACGCCTCGTCCAAGTTTTTGGGATAGTTAGTGGTCATGATAAGGACTCGGTCTTCCTGAGAGGCAACACCATCAAGGACGTTCAGTAAGCCCGAAAGAGTGACCCCCGTCCTCTTCGGCCTCGCGTTTATGCCATTGTCCGAATCTTTCGAGTCGAAGTCCCTAGAACACGCAGCTCCTGCTGCATCAATGTCCTCCAGCAAGATAATACATCTTTCTGGGAGGTCGGCGAACAAACTCTTCAGCATTCCATCGTTTACACTAGGGATACTAATAACATAAATGTCCATATCCAATTCACCGGCGACTAATAGGCTAAAACTGGATTTCCCCGTTCCAGGCGGCCCATGAAGGAGGTATCCTCGCTTATAGGAGATTGAATAGTCGGAGTACCAGCATCTGGCTTTAGGGTCGAGGAAATCTTGAATATCCTTGATCAAAGGTTCCTTTTGTTGCTTGTCGAGAATGACTATCGATAGAGGCCGAGCAGCCATTGCTTTCTCCTTTCTCTAGTATTCATCGCGATGCCCATAGATGATCGTCTTATTCTTTGATTCGTTGAGGTATATAGTTCGACATTCTTCTAGGAGATCCTTTAAGATCGAAGATCGCCTAGCATAGGTGATAGAGATTTGCTCCTCTCTATGGTAACCACGCTCCACCATTATAGTCCGGTAGTGAAGCACGTTGAATTTATACCAGAAGAAAAAGGAGCCTTCCTATGGGGCGTATTTAAGAGTCTTCTTCCCTTCGAGGTGTTTCTCGTGTGTTGAATTTTGCTTTGTTCGGATCTTGGCGAGCATAGAACGAGCAGCGTTATCTAATCGACGAGATGAAACCTAGGTTTGTACTATCTCGTACGTTTCGTCTGATCGTTTGATGTAGATTGTTGTTGCTTTAGGGGTTAGCCTGGACTATGCGGGTTTGGTTTCGGTGACTAACTGCAGCGTTGGATGAACCAATCTCTTAATTCGAAAACATACGGCTTTAAGAACGCAACCAAGGCAAAGAGACACATGAACTAAGTGTAGCCAGTCAGGTTGCTATTGAGGGCTTGACTGGTAGCATTGGTGATGTTTGTGAAACCAGGAAGGAAGAGGTCCAAGACAGACATATGTTGAGATAGGGCCTCTTGGATAAGAGGGGGGCTGAGGTTGCTGAGAAGCATCATGACGAATAAGTTAGAGAGTAAAAGATTGCAAAGTGGTAAGTCTTTGGAAGTATGTGTTGGACGAGAGGGAAACAAGCACTATCTAAGTGGCAACGTCTAGCGTTCTTATTCCTTTCAGAGCTCACATAATTGATGAGCCGAGATGGAAACAGGCTAAGGGATCAACAGCGTTGATATGAAGGCCGCATGAAGAGCGACTAGGCGTTGTATACACGGAACTATCTACATCAAAGTACGGTCATGGCGAGGTGCGCTGCAAGAACCATTAACCAATAACCCATCAAATGCAGCTCGCTCTCTTATTTTGACTTAGCTCAATGTTTATAGGGTGGTGTGGGTCTCGGTTAGAACCATATCACCTAGCACGGCGCGGGTATCGCAATCACATCCTATTGGGCAAACCCACTTGGCTACCATTTTCATGTGTGGTCCGAGAAGAATACTATCGATCATGCTGTGTTAGATTTTTCGATGAACTAGTTTCCAAAGCAGACTTGCTTATGATTCCATTTTTCTACGTTGAGCAAGTCGCTATGAGTTAGATGAGCCAGGCTATAACCATCGTTATACAAGATACGAATAACTATACCGAATAGCATGGCTAAACACCCGCAGTTACAAATCCCGTGACATCCCCAGCCCCGCACGGAGTCCCGGTTGAGTGCATCATTGCTCCAGCCCCAAGTGCCTGAGTGCCCAAGTGCCCAAGTGCCCGAGTGCCCGAGTGCCTTAGTGCCTTAGTGCCTTAGTGCCTTAGTGCCTTAGTGCCTTAGTGCCTTGGTGCCTTGGTGCCTTGGTGCCTAAGGCAGCATTGCATCAGCTGGGCGACGATTGAGGGAGTGAGCTAGGCATCCCTTGGGGAAGGAACAATTCTCTCAGTTTCACCCATGGCAGTACAAGATTCTATTCAGTGCTTTGCATGCTCCGTCCAGTTCTTGAACCCTGAGCTATGTTTTGAGCATTGTCGACTTTATCAAGTAAGAAGAGATCATAAACATTAGCTATATACTGACTTTAATATATGGCAGTATGAGGCCACGTTATTGCTTGCAAAGGGGAAAGAGCTTATAATTGAGGCCCTGGGTCATGATCTCTCTGTCGAAATCATAGCGCTGCTTGCTAGAGCACAAGATCTTCTTTCTCACCACGGTTCACTCGCAATACCCCTTGCGCCGCTCGACGATGTTAGTCGGCAACGTTAGCCCGCGGCTAGCTATATGGATTAAGACGCGGCTCTTGGTTGGGAGAAGGAACCTATGCCAACTACAATTGAGACAGAACCAAATGGTTCAGGCAACGCAACACGCGACGCCGTCGGGCTTTAGTGCCCTCACAATGATTGTGATGGTGAATCATAGACCTTCTCTAGATGGCAAGACCTTAAGCGATACTATGCTCTACGTACGGAGCTCAGCGTGCAATGCCCCTTCGTGACGTCGCTGATCAGCGCATAGATTACAAAGGCTGTGTCGAGTGCAAGTTTTGTGCCAGTCACATTACTTTGAAGGAAGCCATGGCTCATACTTGCAAGGATGTCGCGTCTTCCCAAATCATGCTCATCAAGAGGCAGCGGCGAACATGGCGCAGAAGACTACGTGAGGACATGACGAAGGTTCGATTGTTGAAGAACAATGTCAAGAACAATGTCAAGCAACTTAACCACGCCGCCGGATCATCCTCGTACGGAGAAGAGCCAGAAAGTCCAAGCGATTGTCCAAGAAACGCCATGATCACTGGTCCGGCCAATCTCATGTCGAGTATTGCCGGTGCAGAAGGGTCAGCTCCGAATGCCACAATTCCGCCACCATAGGAAACCCCATCGCTTGCTTCCACTATCACTTCCGCGAGGTCTGTCCTACCAATCAGTGTAGATGACCTATCGATAGGCGATTTCCTAACTCAAGCTCCAATATATTCCCTCAACCCATTTGCACAGGTCGAGCCAGACCAGGCAGCAGAATCTCAACCAAATGACGCCCCAATATATGCGGAAGGCTCGTTTGCCGCGAACTGGAAAGGGCAGGCTCGATTGGGCTTCACTGGACAGATCGATGCCCCAATCTACTCATTGGCATCATTCGCCCACTCTCCGTCCATGCATGCAGAGGAGCCAGGTTCACAAGCGTTATGGAATGCGATGCAACCAGGACCGATATAAAATACCGAGCTGCGTCTACACGTTATGCACATACCACTTCGTCAAACACGAGCCTAACATAATCCATTAGTAGTTGGTGAGGCGTTTGCTTATTTAGTCGTGGTGTTTCGGCTTGCGGTCTTGTTCTTCAAATCGTAAATGATTGTCGAGCCTTGGATGATACGAAATGAATGTCGTCGGTCGTGTAAAATTATATAACTATGTCAGCGTTTTGCAGGGGCATCTAAAGTGCAGACTTACAATCCACCAGCCTCCATTTGAACTGGGATAGGGTTTCCTCTCTGCTTTAGAGCAGGTTTAGGAACCTTAATGAAGCCATTCGAGGCTTAAGCTCCCTTCAAGCGGCCCGACAATAGAGAATCCAGATGAGCGCCTTCGGTCAACTCTGCTTGGGATCCAGGACTGAGAAGATGAACAATAATGCGATCTTTTTGGCCAGGTTCCAACGATAGGATAAAGTAGTAATAGGGATCGGGTCCGAGGGTGGTATACAATAGAACATCGAGTCGGTCGAGGTATGGTTCAAGGATCGGTCGCACACGCTAGCCAGAGTCAGATAGGAATATCCAAGTGTACTTAATTTGCTGACCGGGTTTTTAAGTAGTCTGAGTTTCGCAATAGATAGGCCGTCGACGCTCTCGGTAATCCCGCGCTTCTCTAGCTCGGGGACTAAACTTCCTATTATTGCATCATGCTCGTACAGGTATCCGTGATTTGCGTAGAAGTCGACGGGCTCGCCCGTGCAAGGCTATTGTGAAGTCATCAGACAAGCCAGAGGCACTTGGAAGATAGCCGCTTGATGATCCCAAGGGTCGAAAGATGGGACCGCCAGTTATGAGGGGCGACGTCAGTGGATAGCACACGTGAGGCGCATCAAAGTAAAAACCTTTTTCCGAGATGCCGGTCTTTTCTCTGTGATTTAGGGATATCGCCCCTTTAAGTATAAGCCAATTCTACCGCCTAAGTTAACCGGGTCTTTTGGTGGAATGCCTTAATTACTGCCTAACCTAAATATCAACCCATTCCACGCACTCAACCCAAGGTGCTTCTTTCTCCAAGGAAGCTACACCGCATAAGTTCTGCGCACTGGTAGCCAAGCTCCGCCATATGAAACGAAAGGAGGCTCACTAACTTCTATTAGTTAAAAGGACGGCTGAAACAAATATGAGCACGATCGCCGAGTGTCCTAGCTATGGAGGCTCTGGCATGCGGGGAAGCTTTATCTGCGGCAGGTGCAATGGCTCTAGAGAAATATCGGTGTCATCGGCCCAGAATCCCTCGGGGTCTAAGTCTGCTGTGGCTGTCTGGTTTCACTCTCTATGGTTGAGACACGGACTTTTTTACTAGGAGGAAGTGAAGAAGGAGGATTGAGGGCAGTGTAATGAATGTGTATTTTTGTCCAGACCACGGCGATTCGATCTGCTGTCATACTTTTCCTCGTCACGTCTAATCATAATATCACAGTTACCCTCGGATACTGCTCCAAACGAGGGAGGCACTTTTGAGAGTTAACTCGAGGCTCAGGTGCCTATGTGCCCAAGTGCCCAGGTGCCTAGGTGCCCAGGTGCCCAGGTGCTCAAGTGCCCAGGTGCTCAAGTGCCCAGGTGCTCAAGTGCCCAGGTGCCAGGTCCCACAGCTTAGCAAGGGATACCACCGTCCTCCAATCAAAGCCATTGTCCAAGCATAATCAGAGCCGTTGGTCACCGAGGAGACAGCCAACACCCAATCTCAATGTGATCCCGTTACAGTACGCAGCGAGGTTCACGATTACCATGCACTTTAGGCAGCTTCGAGCACAGTTGGGGATAGTAAAGAAAAAAGTTGATGAGGAGATGGAATTTCCGGGGTAAGAGATATAAATAGCTGCAGAATTACTCGCTAGAATTTCGTGGTGATCAACTCACACGTTGCTGAGCAACGAAGTATCAGTCCTCTTTGTTAACCATCCGAATCCTTTTTCAGGATAAGCACAAATTCAGGAGAAGAAGGCTTCTGCAAGTTTTATGGCCACTTTATGAATGAGCATACAGCGGCAAGCTATTCCAAGTGCAAGAAATGCAAGATGCGCATCCATGTCTGCCAGGCCGGTATGCATAACGAGGGTAATGGCTAGAGGCTATGTGATGTTCCGTATGGCTGTGGCTCAAAGCACTACCCAAGCACAGCTAGACAAGCGCGTCCTCTCGCTCCGACTAAGTACGCGTCGACTTATCCCCAGTATGAGTCTCCACCTGAGGACGAGATACTCGCCAGCCACTCGACCCCTGAAGCCAGCCGCACCTCCCCTGGCGACCCAACCTACGTGTCCGTTACTAATAACGGACACTATTTATAATTTTATGGCCACGATGGCGAGCTGATATCGACCGTTAGATCTTATTGGCAGCAGACGAGTATCCTCTACCAGGGAGTGGAGGTTGGGGCCTGGCAAATGGTAGACGACACAGGCTTTTCGTACTACACTTGGACTTTGGATGCGCACGACAGCCAAGACGCCCCGGCGGAAGCAGAACAAAGCGAAAGATCACGTGGCAAATAGGTAGCGCATGCGCCTCAGCCTACCTCCCATGGACGCACGCTCTCTATGGAATCCATCGATCCTCTGCAATGGAGCGAAGAACAGTTCGATATAACTTCTGCAATAGCAGGGCTTACTATTAGTGAAAGAGCTTAGTCTACCTCCCATGGACGCACGCTCTCTGCGGAATCCATCGATCCTCTCTAATGGAGCGAAGAATGGCTTGGGGGTAGTAGCTCCGGTTAGGTCCATTAGGTTGAAGACTTGAGTCCCGGAGAACGCGTGCTCGGCTCTGCCCGATTAGGTAGCAAGAAGGGCACGGTAGTTTTTAAGCCATAGGGTAACGGTGAAAAAGTGACCTCGTTAAGAAAGAGCTAGGTAAAAGTGGAGGGCGGTTTTATTTTTGAGAGTAAGAAACATAGATATACGTTTTTTACGAAGGAGATTAAACCCGCGAAGAAATAAAAGAAGGTTATGTACGGAGAAGAATTTCCTCTTTGTTTTCCCCTTATTTTTTTTCTTTCTTTCTCTTCTTTATAGGTTTATAGGGGGGCCTTCAACAGGGAACCAGTGACGAGATAGCGGGCCATATTTACCCCGATACTCACAAGAAAATGATGAAATAACCGAGATTGACCCTTGTCCCCCTGTCGTTGCTGCCCACCTAGATTGTGTAAATAGCAACCGTCCTCCCACTAAACAACCACTCTTTCGGTTGAAACATGCCAGAAGCAAATATCGCCAAAAACCTAGCTAGCCATGGCGAATAACGACTCTCGTTCGGTCTCGTTCGGATCTACAATATCAACTTCTATCTCCTCGAGCGATCGATCGTCCAATTCCTTAGCCTAAGACTGGCCTCTCGACAACGATGATACGCTGGTACTAAGCCCTGCCGATGTTTATCATACTTTCTATGACGGAAAGGCGACGTGGGAAGAGTTCTTAGACCAGGCGAATAGAATAACCCCAGGTCTCTGGCCAGCAGATGCGCTGGATCCATGTATTATTCTAGCAGACGTCCCGAGTGTGCCAGAATAGCTGCCTCGCCGCGATTGGCTGTGCGGTAGGCTATGCTAGGAACTCCCTCTCGACGTCGGAGGTACTACATGCGAAGATCATAGTCCCCATAGCAATGCAGCTCGTGTCTATGGTCGCCGACTTTCGTTTCGATTATAGATCAACGATCCGATCCGCTGCGATGTGCGCCTAGGTGCAGCATCATGCGCCTTGGGTGTTGGTTCGAAGATAACCAGCAGCCTTGCTATACTAGTCATATGCTGGTTATACATCCTTTCGGTTCGACTCCTTGAGATGCAAGGTCGGCAGGTACGATACAATATGGATCGGTTGTGGCCCGATACGTCTTAGCGCCGAAGCGGGCATGTTGTCGATCTCGATCTCGAAGGCGCGTCGCCCTCGCTCATTAGGTGGCTTTGCGCGATCCTTAGTCCTAAGATGGGTTGGCGGGCCAAGGATCAAGGACGACTACCGCTATGGGCAACTTCTTTCACGGCAGACGTCCAACTTAGCATTAAGGCTTTATCCCTAGCTGTAGAAATCCGTTTGCCCCCAAACTATTCTGAAGCTATGGAACTTCTCATCGAACTATGCCGGCTATTTAATCTTGGAGCCGATGCGACCGGAGCCTCTCGCTTGGAACCGATGCAGCCCTATAAGGCGTCGTTCCTAGCCGCACTGGTGCTCCCTTTTTATAACTTCACGAGGCTTTAACCCCGGCTACCTCCTCCATATCTTAGCAGGCCACAGAGAAATGGCACATTTAAAAGTTCTCATGAGCAGAGCATTCGGAGGTATCTCGATGATATCCGATATTTCATAACTCTTAGCATTTATCCTCCTTCGATTGGAACCATTCTTTGGAGTATCTTTTGGCAGCCGGATGTGGATTGCAATCTGGTTAGTCCGTGGCTCGCATCCTTCTTGGATACGCTGGAGCCAATCATCAAGCAGAAATAAGTCGAGGTTATAGTAAAGGTCTTTCTTTCCCGCCGGCCTCGAATTGCCATTTGGTGGGTGGCTCTCTTCTTGCTTGGCGACCTGGCTATCCTTGACTGGATTTAACGATACGCAGTGAAGATAGAAGAGAAGTATGGATCCGGCTCGTTATCGCCACCAGATCCGATGGTGTCTGCCTGGACCGGATCCAAACAGTTATTCTTAGATCTTAATAAGGATTCTCTTTATATGGAACTATCCGATCTAGTATCTAGAGCCGACCTCCTTCGGTGCCATTTCGATCTTAAACTTCAGAATTCGGCTGGCTTAAATCTATTATGGCGACCCTTTGGATATATACAGAAGGGGCGAGTTAAACTCGAACTTTAGCCGCTACTCGAAACCAAGTATACTCGCAAGTATTATTCATTCACCTAGTACCTTAATAAGAAGCAAACAATCTCTAACAAGGGGTTTCGAGCATATACCGGGCAAAACGTGAGGAACGTGCCGGACAACTTGGGAATACGCACCTCCTTCGCCGAGTCTCTAGAGAGAAATCGCTAAGCCATTAATATTCGGCCGTCAAAAGAGTCTACTCTTAGGATGATGTCTTTTCTGGTAGAAGATACGGCAGGTAGTCGTGATTGGGCTAATGCTGATCTGCCAAGAAAGCACGAGTAACTCAGCTGGCTGCGGGACTGGGAAGGCGTCGATAGCATCGACGGAGCAGCAGTGGGGCTCGATGAGGAATCGGCCAAACCTCTATCATGGTTCCTTGAGGAATGGATTAAGGGAAGATATGACTAACAGAGGGAGTAGTGAACCGAGTGTACAGGGTGCTCCAGGAATTTGGCTCACAGCTTACATGGGATCTCTGAGTCATCGTTGGATTATCGCTTGATGATACATCCGCAGTGGACCACGAGGTCCCGAGCCCATTTGTGTAACCATCTGCGAGCGTTGCGCCCTTTCTCAGGAGGCGAGAGGGGGAACCAGTCCAACGACATGAATCCGAGCGGGTCTTTGGAAGATAATTTTAGAAGCCTTGGTAGCACTTGTTTGTCCCTGGCGGCTGTTCCTGGGCTAATTGCAGTAACCCACTTGTCGGCACCAAATGGCGTGCATGTGGGCGAGACTCTAGTCCCTCAACGAGGTCACAAATGCCTCGAGTCATACAGGTCAGGTAGGGCACGGTACGGCTGAGAAAGAAAGGGAGTCTGAGGACCGACACATAAGAGTAGTCTTAGGGAGTTTAATTTAGAAGTCTTGGATCTTTTTTTACCATTGGTGAAGCAGCGCGCTGTCGTCCTAACTTTAGCATGGCCAGTTCTAGGCTAATTTTAGAAGACGCTCAGCCTGCCCGTGCTTTTTTTCATCTTTTTTTTCATCTTTTTTTTTTTCAGGTTGACAGTTAAGTGGTGTCCCTGTAGACTCCCCAAAAGTCCACGGGTGCCTACCCCTGGTGTGCACTCATTAGCGAGAGACGCAAAAGCGATATTCTATAGTTCGTCGACGTCTTTACAGATTCCTGCATTCTCAAAGCATTCCACGGAATTATTTTTGTCTGACTGGGGGCGTGCGATTATTATGTGGATCCGATGAGACGTACCTCAACTCCTTCCTGTTCCCAGGAACAGACCAATACTGTTTCCTGACTCCGTCATGTTCCTGGGAATGGAATAATTCTGCTTTCTCGATCTAGTCTGTTCCTGGGAACGGAGTAATCCTGCTTTCTCATTCTGACTGTTCCTGGGAACAGAGCAATACTGTTTCCTGACTTCAGCCTGTTCCCAGGAACAGAGGAATACTGCTTTCCCACCTTAACTCCGTTCCTGGGAACGGGGTAATCCTGCTTTCCTGTTCTTACTCTGTTCCCAGGAACAGACCAATACTGTTTCTTGACTCCGCCATGTTCCTGGGAACAGGAAAATTCTGCATTCTTGATCTCGTTTGTTCCTGGGAACAGAGCAACTGCTTTCTCCCTGACTCTGTTCCCAGGAACGGGGCAATCTTACTTTAGTTGTTCCTAGGAACAGAGAAATACTGCTTTCTCACTCTAGCCTTGTTCCCAGGAACGGGCTGGCAAAGACATCTTGGATGAGAGGTCATACGCGCAACTACGCTGAGGCCATCACGGGCAAAGCGTGCAGGGGTCTTCATGCAAGTAATGCTGCGAACGACGATCGGCCTCCAACAGGGCTGTATTTTCGGAGGCTCAGGAGTGGGGCACTGCCTTCATCGGATAATGCTTCTCACAGACCTGTCGACACAGCAGCCTAAGTCGCAAGTGGGAGGCCGCATCATCGATGGAGTAGAAGGTCCTCAATTAGGCCATGCAAGCCCCACATTTCGGTTCTTAATGTGGCTGTGCGGACTCGTCCGCTTACGTATGTTGTTGCCGACAACGGGTGCTCTGTTGTCCCGATGTTTTTCCCTTAACGAGCTCTCAACACCGATCATCCGTCCCCTCTCGCACAAATCCATCAGCCTCCATGGGAGAACTTGAGAGGCTGCGAGAGCAGCTACAGAGAGAGCAACGCCTACGCGAAGAGGAGCAACGCCGACGCGAAGAGGAGCAACGCCGACGTGAAGCGGCCGAAGGCCGCGCCCTCAAGGAACAACACCAACGAGAAGAAGAACAACGCCGACGCGAAGAAGAGCAACGCCGACGCGAAGAAGAGCAACGCCGACGCGAAGAAGCCGAGAAACTCGCAGACGCATCGCGACTATTAACACTCCAACCATATCTCGAAACATGCCATTCTCTCAGCCTTAATATCGAAATACTGACCGACCGTTCCCTAACGACACAAGGGGACACGATAAACCCGACCGGCCGAATTTATCCTCGACGAATCATCCCGTGGGCCATATTTGCAAGGGAATAAGAATATGTCTGGGATGAGCTTTCCTATATCCCCTCCTTTTCTTCCCAAGCCGTCTTCCCGTCTCGGCATTAATTAGACTATGTGAGAACCCTGCTTCGCCCGGTCAGCAGCGAGATTAGACTCCGAAATAGCGAGCGAGACGTTGTGGAAAATGCCGTCTAGAAGCTGATGGACGCGACGTATAATGACTCGTCGCTGAGATGTCATCTTGGCCTCGATGGTACGGTGACCTTTGAAAGCCACACGAACCTCGGTATTACCGATAACTCCCTCTCCGAATCGATGGAGCAGGTGTCGATTGGTTCTAGACCGCCTAGCCGGTTGACCCGACGTCGACGGAAGGTATGGGGGAAGGGTAACCGAGGAGATTAGTTCTGTATATACTGGACCTCGGATGATTAGAATATCCCTGCCGTTGCGATCGAGTATAAGGCGCCATATAAGTTGAGACGCGACGAGATCGTTACTGGGCTGGTCTCTGAAATCTAGCCGGATCGTGACGTGATTAACTAGGAGGGTGGGGGATATGAATTCGCAGCGAAGCGACTTGCCACTGCCGTCGTTACCTAGCTCTTCTCCTATATAATAGGGAAAGGCATCTAGCATAGGTATGTATACACTGGGGAGGCATATATTTTCCTCTATATTCCAGACGACCCTTCCTGCGTCTATTACTCCGTCAGCGTGCTAAGTCTAGACGTCTAAGATGGTGACGAGACGAGACTCTATTATACTGCTATTGCGTAAGCCTTTGCATTTATGCTTTAGGCCATCTGATCTCCGCCACCCTATCAAGCCTAGCATGACGCTGCTAAGCATCTCGATACATGGGCAGTGGAGTACGAGGACGTATTGCGAAGTATACCGGAAATAGATCGGAAGCCGAGACGCGAGATAACTTATAAGGCGCAACGGTGGAAAGGGTTTATACGCTCTCCAATCCGGACGCGCTCCCGATGCTTGCCACCCCAGGACGTGGCACAGCAGCCAACCGACGACAGCGACGACGATGACGACGAGAGCCCAAGCCCAACGCCAAACCCAGGCGTTAGTCGTGGGGGTGCCTTGACTACCACAGGCGCCAGGTCGAGCGAGCTGCAGGAACAGGATGGAAGCGCAGCCTCGCAAGAGGGCACTAACATGCGACCAAATATTTAAGATCGACTATACTACACGCACGAGTGTCTCCGTGGACTCGAGTTTGGTGAGCCAATGGACCAGACATGCCCTAACTTTGCGGATCATAGCGATGCATACATTAACCGACGCGAGTTTCTTCAACTAGCACGGAATTAATTAGTAGTTGATCGCGGAAAGGATGCTGATTGCGTGCCGCTTTACTTGTCTAGTTCATATGGGTCACTCTTTAAATTCTGCCTCTCGTCATATGGCTACACACTTATGGCGAAAGGGGTAGAGGCAATAGACGCTAAGTATCTACTCTACGAGAGCAAGATATATAGTTATCTCGGGGAACTTCAGGGGAAATTTGTTCCGGTCTGCCTCGGTATTATCGACCTCATCAAGCCCTATTACTTCAATAGTGGAGTATACGAAGACTTTATATTCCTTAGTTATAGCGGGCGACTAGTATTGAAAGGATTGGGAAAAGTTAACACAAATATCGTCAAGGAGATTCTGATTGCACTCGGTCGATTATATTAACATGGAGTCCTCCACTGCGATGCTAAGCTACGCAACGTGCTCTACGATAAATATACTGGCAGATATATGATCGTGGATTTGATGCTAGCGGAACTCCGTACTCGATAACCTCTCGGACCCATGGACGTTAATAAGCGAAATCGGAAGAGGAAATGGACGCCAGGAAAGCATAAGAAGGACGCTTTTGTAGTTAAGGCGCAGTCCTTGCGGGCGAGTCTAACACAATAGGCCTTAGGTCTAATGACCGTGTTTTAGGGTAGCAAAGCTATGGATATGCTGTGATATTGAATATACTATGATGGAAGATACTATGATGCTAAATGTACTGGGATATTAAATGTGCTGGGATACTAAATGTATTGTGATACTGAATGTGCTAGCACTGAACGTACCATACCAGGGACTGTGCTATACTACTATGCACTATCCTAACTTCTGTGCTATGACACCATGTCCTATCCCAGAAACTAGTCTAGGATATAACGCGCTATCTCATAGCCTGCCCTGGCACATTGGGAGGTCCTAAAACTGGGACTAATTCTGTTGTCACCGGATTCAAGGTCAGATCCGTGGCCTAAAAATTCTCGTGTGGCTGCGATAAATTTAAACCGCGTACTCTTATCTAGATAAGGAAATACCCGAGACTTAGCCGCTCGAGCAAAAAAGCAGCCTCTGGGACAGGACCAATAACTTGCTACCCCTGGTTCTCGAACCTTCCACGCTCAACGTGCAGCGAGGAAGAAGGCGGCCATGCTTAGACTGTCTTGACGATACCAACCTGGGCAGTCAGCCGGATTCCATCGCTCCAGCAGTCCGGTTTATTCTGCCACTACCCACCAGAAGACAGAGCAATCCCTTGTCTACTGTCTGATGAGGCTAAGCAGAATAAGCCTACGATAGATACTCGAGAGGAGCGCCTCCACGAAACCACGCCTCCAAAGCGCAACATATCGCAGCCCTGGAGCTTAAATGGGGGCCGCAAGGTGCGTCATGCACGTACCGTCAGGTGGGGTGCTTCATATGCGACGTCTTTATAGGGAGCGGAAAGCTGCACGATCCTAGCCCACTCCGCTGACCAAGTGCAGCTCAAGGGGGGACCAAAATAGGTCCCTGGATACACAAAACGATAAACTAACAACACTAACATAATATCTACTAAAATTGGTGACAACGAGAGGAACTAATTATTTATATCCCGCCCCTAGGCCATGCTACTATCCTTGCCTCGTCAACCTTTCACGATGGCAATTGGTAAGCACACCCAGGGGGCTAAAAGAGACCGAAGCAATGAGAACTTTAAGAAGAAATGGAGTACTCTCAAGAAGAACGGCCTTAATATCCATTAGACTTATGATGCTGAGGTATATATATGCATACGTCGGAGAGGTGAGAAATATGAGTTTAAGTCTACTGAGAAGGCTTTGCCGCTGTCGGACAAGGAAAAGGTTAGAACGTGCCTAAGTGGCAGGCGGATTACCACTGACAGAGCGCGACAGAACGAAAGCTTCCCTCTGCCAGTGCTCGTGACCGCTGCTAATGTTGCAGATGAGAGGAGCGATCTCAAATTCTCCACGTCGGGAAAGGAACGGGGGCGGGGAGATGACCTAGAGCTGTGTGTAGGAAGTCCGTCAACTGGGCCCGAGCAGAGCAGTCCTACTGGTATAGAAGAGATATAAGAAAAACATTCTCTACTATTGCTTTGGTCCCAATTCTCATGGCGATAGCTTGTGATAATGGCAATGTCAGGAGAGAGGCAGAGCGGGCCAGAAGCTGACAACCACCGCCGCGATGTGGGATGCGCGTGACGCAAGGAAGCAAGTGGCCTGTTCACCTGTGGATTAACACGACCAACAACGCTGGCTAGCCACGGCCCATTCCCATCCAGGACAACCGTAATTTTACCATAAAATTCGAGATAATGTAATAAAAACCTCTCGGTAGCATATCCATGTCCCACGCCATCTTCCTCTCCCTCTTCCCCAAGTTCTCTTCACGCAGACCAGTCGTCCAAAAATCACACACAACCATCAGGACTCCCAAGCGCATGGTGGATCAGCCACTGACAGCCCCACAAATCGCCCTCCCGATTATAGCTGCTGCAGCAGACCGCCTCCATGGCAGAAAAACGCGACCGTGAAGATACCCCTGACGCCCTCGACGACGAAACATGGTTTCGCCTCCGCGACGCCGCAATCGCCAAACTCAGGGAGCGGAACCTGCGCGGCTTTCTCCGTGGGGTCAAGAGGCAAAGGAATCGGGCAAGGAAGAAGCAACGCCGATCGACGACCTCGCCAGGACGCAAGGTAGGGAGCCCGTCAACTAGGCTCGAGCAGAGCAGTCCTATCGGTATAGAATAGATTTAAGAAATACATTGTTTAGTTTCGCTTTGTACCTAATTTTCCACCAGGATATCTTGTGACAATGGTTATCTCAGAGACAGAGGGGAAGGCAGGGCGGACCGGAAGCTGACTCCTATCGCCGCGAGGCGGCAAGGAAGCGATGGTCGAAAGAGGAAAGGGCCACCAGTAGATAACTTTAGCCTGTCACGCCATCCACTAAAGTCATATCCCTGAATTTAGCGCAGTGGTTCCTGGGCTAAGCTAATCTGGTTTGTTGATATGCATCTAGATTAGATACCAACCCAGTAAATGCTAGCTTCCTTATCCAAGCTCATACACTGTCTTATACCTGTGCGCTATTCGTCCTGGCGTGCTCACGTACATAAAGGCAATTGATGAGCCGGCGCATCTGGGGCATCATCTGGGGTGTGTGTTGGCGTGTTAGTGATAAGAAAACATCCACAGTTTGCTGTTGGTTCTGTTCATGACCAACTGGTTTTAGAGCGTGCTAGAGCCAACAGTTTTCGGCCTTCTTGTCCGTATTCGAAACTAGCGCCATATGGCTCGGATGAGAGTAATTCATGGTATTTAAATGAGGTCGCTCTCTCTAATCTCTGCTCGGAATCTCGCAACCGACTTTTCATGCAACACGCAACACAATGGCCCCAACGAATCGACAAGCAGAGCAAAATGTCAGAGCAAATAATGATCAGAGAATGATCAATATCTTGAGGCTCGCACAACGTATATCCCCTCGTCGCCCTCGACGCCCGTCCTCTCGTCAATTTCCACCACGATCGACCCGTCCTGCCCATGCGCCTCGTTCTGCCCATCCGACCCG